CTTCCCCCGCTTCCCACTGCCTTCTTGGTCACTGCTTGCGGGAGGCCCGCCCCGAGGGAGGGGCACCTGTTCCCCTCATAACCTCTTCCCCCGTGAGTCCCTTTGATACTGAAGTGCGGGCACTCTCTCTCACCCAGCCTTGTGGGGCACAGATCACCTCGATAACACCTTACACTCCTATGGTGCGCCTTCGCATTTCAAAGTGACTGTGGATCTGTTATCTTCACAAGGAGGGGTTATTATTACCCTCCCTTAATCGAGTAATACCTGAGGCTGGGGAGGGGGTAGGGGGGTGGTGCCAGATTTCCCTCCTTATCCAGGTTCCAGGCCAGTGCCCGGCTGGGGAAGGGCAGGGCGTAGCGCCCAGATCCCAGGGACAGGGGCGAGGAAAACCGAACTGCAGTGAACTTGACATAGTCTTCTGTGAAGGGCCTTGGATGGTGAGACCCAGGCCTAGCAGGGAAAAGAGGCCGCCCGGGTAAGGAGGCCCCAGGTGAGTGGGAGGGAACCCAGCTTCTTCGACCCCCAGAGCACAGCCCTCTGGGTCTGGGAGGGGACCGGAAGCGAGAGACAGGCTCCAGGGCCTCTGGCATTCACAGCCACATCATGGGCGTCCCAAGCCTGGTCCGTGGCTCCCCTTTCCCCAAGGTCGAGTGAGATTCAGAGGACAACCTGCTCAGGAGGCCGCTCTCGGCAGATGGTCCTGAAGGGCTCGCTAGAGTGGCAGACTGCCCTTGCCCTTGGCCCCGGCAGAAGCAGTGACCCACTCCTTCCCCAGATGAGAGGCTGGCTGCAGGGTCACACAGCCATGCCTACTGTTGACTGACATGTGGCCTTGGGCAAGTCCCTCTCCGGGCCACCGTCTGTGCCCAAGGGAGAACTGCCCAGCTTGGGTGTGAGGGGCAAATGGTACACAGAATGGCCACCGATGTCGCTGGAGCACGTCTGATGGGAAGAGAGTGTGGTTGGGGTTGGCGGGGTGGGGGGGGGGGGCGCAGAGCTCACAGAAAGCCGTGCCGCACTGCTCGGGCACTCGGGTTCTATTTCACCGTGTGTCTATTGGGGTGGCTTTGGGGGAAGGCCTGATAGAAATGGTGGGGTCGGGGGTCCCCACTCCCCGAGCTAGTCTTGGCAGCCCCACGTGCCCGCTCCCCCGCCCTCCCCAGCACACCAGGGGTGTGTCCTTTGAAAAGTCCAAAGCTCCAAATGGGTGGACATATGGTGATTTCATCATCCTGGTTTTTCCTTCCAAAAACCTTGTCTGTGCTGCTCCAACACGCTATAGGGGCTCCCACGCTCCACGGCGGCTGCAGCCCCACGTGGTTTTATAATTATCAATCCCTCTGGGCGCACAGGAAGCCAGGCCCCGAGCCCCCTTGGCCACCGTCCCTCTGGCCCCTGGGCGCCACCCCGTCTGCGAGCTGCTTCAGGGAAGGGTGGGTCCTGCCTGCTTTGTTCTGGGAGTTGGGTGGGGTGCTAGGCTCCCTGCACCCACTCTTACCACCCCCCCCCGATCAACCACGGTGGGTCAATGGAGCTGGTACCCCAGGGGCCCCCGCCTCTGTGAAGCTGGGGTCATTGCATTTGGCGCAGGAAGAAATAGTCTCAAGAGAGGAGAGGCAGAGTTCCAGAAAGTGGCAGAGTGGATTCTAACTGGGACTGTCTGACCCGAGGCCTGACTTCTGTGTGCTTTCTCAGCTGGTGTGTGTTTGGGTCTTATTTATTTATTAATTTTTATGTTTATTTTTTGAGAGAGAGCACGCGTGTGTGTGAGTGAGCAGGGAAGGGGCAGAGAGAGAGAGAGGGAGACACAGA